AATTCATCCTATTATTGTCTGTTATCAACATTTTACTAAACTGTATGCCTGTGCTATTATGTAGGGATGTTACAAATGCCATCCCTACTATCTTGTTTGCATTGTTTTTAAAGGATTGATATTACTAAATGTAGGGATGACTTCCTTTTTTAAAAAAATTTTTCGTTACTTGTATACTAAATGTTTTAAATAGGGCTCCTGTATTGCGGAACACAGTCTTAAAACAGCTTGTTGAGAGCATTATAAATAGGCGATTAGTTTTTTTTTTTTTTTTTCTATCTGTTGAACAACTTTAAATGTAAACAGACTCTTATATGTGAATATTAAAATGTGTGGTGAATATGAAGATTAACACTTTCACATGAATTGCATTCTTTTGTAGTTGTTTTATTTTGTTATCACATACTAGGACTATTTGTATAAAGAGCAAACATTCTACTACATTTCTTACCCAATTACATCTTTCTTTTTAAACTTGTGACATTTTTATAAATGTTGGGAATAATTGCTGTAACATCCCCTTCTCTTGTAAGATGTTTGATCCACAACTTGTATAAAATATATTATATGCTAAGCTGTTTTATCTAATGGAATGAATTAAAGTAACATTGAAATAAATGTAATGTTCCTTAACTTGTAATATTGTGATTTTGAAAGACAATAAAAATTGGAAGCATCTTATTGTATTGTCTGCATTCAGCTGTTATTATTATTATTGCAACATTTGATCTCCTTATAGTTCGTTCTTTTGGAACTGAAGACAGACCAACTGACCGTCCTGTTGCCCCTCGTGATGAAGTGTATGAATACATCATATTCAGGGCTAGTGACATAAAAGATTTACATGTGTGTGAGCCTCCTAAGCCCCAGCCCACACTGACTGGAGGCTTGCCTAATGATCCTGCAATAGTTCAGGTAACCAGTTCCTGGGGCAGGCTCAGCACTTCTTCTAATCTGTCAGTATGTATGGTGAGGCTACTTTTTCCTTTATAAAGGTTTCAGAAAGCTTTGAAACATCATGCAATAGATAATTATTGTAAAGCTAGTAATCAGTACCACTTTTATATCTGGGACAAATTATAACAAATTTATAGCTGTTATTAATTAATATATAATTAATTATAACAAGCACATGGATAGATACATAAAAAAATTTTGTAGAAATAAGACATTGTGAAAAAGAATTCTTTGATAAACCATGATTATACAGACATGGAATTTTATGACTAAACTTTGCATTTAATCACCAATACTTTTATTTTTAACAGAAAAGAAAGTTCCAAATAGTGAATTGCTTCATGTGTTAAAATGATAGCTAAACATAACTTCATATTAACATTTTTTATTTTATTAATCGTGTTAGAAGGATTAAAAGAAATAGCCATACTAAAAGGTAATACTAGAAATTTGAATATATTTGCATTCAATAACACTGGAGAGCTTACTTGCTTGAATACAAGTTGGAGATAGTTGTGAGGAAAATTGTGCTATTAGAGGATGAAAACAGTAGATAGGGAGTAGTAACTAAGGAGGTGAGAAAAGAACTAGATCAAGTTAAGGTAATGGGTTTTTGCGAGGAGTTCGAGAATTTAACTGCTGGATTTACATCATAAGGCTTAATATTAATGTTAGCAAAGCAGCAAATTGCTAGTTAATGTTGCATTTTGGCTTCTAACACTTGGAAGGTCCTAGAAAAAGAAATTGCTATTACAAATTTTGGAAGGAAGATTTTCAGGTTCCTACTGTCGAGTATCAATACACCTGAGGGTCACGTGTCAAAGGCCATATCATCGCATTTGTTGACTTTCATTCGAAATTTTATTGAACTACTATTTTATGAATTTGTGTTAAGTTTGGTATCAAATTGTAAATTACAATTAAAATTTTAGTAGTATACATTAGTTAACATCTCAATTTGAAATTAAATATTAAATAAACATAGTGAAACGTCAATTTTTGTGTGTCAATTGTTATGTTCAATGCAGCACTGGTTCAAATTAGATGTTTGTGATGTCAAAATATACAGTTTCTTACAAATTAGGAACTCAAATTACTGATAATGATAAGCTAGAATATAAAATAAGAAAGTCTTATATTTTCTATTTCCTAAGATATTGCTCCTGTACTGAATCAAACACAATACCCCTCTGCCCACCTCTTTCTATTTTTGGAAACAGTCCCTTATATACACTTCTATATATGACATGAATAACCAATCAAAAGCTCAGAATGGCGTCCTACTGGCTTTCTCGGCCATTTTCAAGTGTTAGATGCCATTTCGTTCTTTCAAAACAAGATTTCAAATAAGTAGGTTTTATCTTTAGTGTTGGAAATTGATATTTGTTTAGACCGAAATACAGCTTGGTTACTAAGCTTGATAAATTATAGTGGATTGCTGTGCTATTGATATGGTAATTTATGATTTTTTGGTTATTCAACTCTGTGTGTGTGTCATATATAATTTCTTTTTACATCGACCACGTGGGAAATTTCATAAGGCATAGCAACCTATGACAAGTGGCAAACAAGTACAATGATTGTAACTAGAAGAGATAGTTGTTTTCTCTACTTTATTTACTGTTCTATGTTTTAAGAAAAATAAGTTTAAGAGCTTATTTGTAAATAGAGATAATGTATATACATGTATAATAGTTGAAATGTGACTGTATTTTACAAAATGCTAGTCCACTAAAACACAGCCAAGACAAGTCACTTTGTAAAGACTTAAGGTCAGTTACGTATTATTGGATATGGTAACACAAGTGCATGCGAGTCTCATCATTGTAACTTCTGTATGGTTAGCCGGGCACAGTTGGAAGGTCAATACATATAATGTGATATTTAAGCTAGTTAGACTAAATATTTGTTTTCGTGGTATAGTTTGTAGTCATTCTAGAACAACAAAAAAAAAAAGCGTAATTTGTTTTATTCTTTCCTAATTTTTTTTATAGAGGTTACGAAGCTGGTCATATTGAACCAACCTGCACAGAAATAACAAAATATATATTTTTTTAAACTATTTATTCTTGCAACCCAAGCGAATAGACTCTTCAAATCTGGGTTCATTTAGTGTTGTTGCTTTACAGCTGCATTTGGACCCTCTGAGTATGCCAAAGGCCTTTATTGCAGTGGGATAGTTTCTGTAAACAAATAATCAAGGTACCAGCATGCATGGTCAAATTTCACAGGTGCCTATTATGATGAGTAATTTGTTTTATTTAACCCATTAAGCTCGCACATTGTTGTATGGTAACCACATAATGTGGTTTGAATTTATCTTTAAAAAGGTGATGTTGCTTTTTCTAACATGAGTAATATTTGTAGTAGAAAATTGTTTAATTTTCGTGAGAAAATGTACTCAAAATGGCTTAACATTACTCCCATTTTTTCACACTTGAAGAGAAAACTTAACTTCTGCAAGCTGATGATGATTCTGACTCAACCTCAATTATCTAATGATGAATTTGAGCATAATATGACATAAGAAAAAAAAAAAAAGTACACACCTGAAAAGTTAATTTTATTCTTCATTTTAGTTACTTTTATAACAATATATATAATTAGCTTGCAAAATATTTGTTACATTAATTGTTAAGAGGTAATTAAATCAGCACTATAAAACAATAATGAATTATTGCATTACCATTATCAGTTCTAGTTGTTAACTTATTGTCATAATGGATAATGTCTGTGATAATAGCACCCAAATGCATTGGTGATATCCCATCAATCCAACACAAAATCCAAATGTCAATGTCAGCCTAGTCAGCCATCGTGTAATAAATATATTTATTTATTACAAACTATTAAGAACCATTTTAGAGCCACGACTAAAAACTATAGCTGATAAAGCAATGGCATGGCACCTAAAGAAACTAGCCTTGTAAAGAATGTAGTAAAGCAGTGACTTCTTTCTGTTGGTTATAAATTATCCAATAGCAAATGTTGCAGAGAATTATTGACATTTTGTGAAAGGTAGGATATGATAGGAGAAGCATGGCATGCGAGTTTGACTTGTGTACCAGTAAAGCAAGAAGCTTGGAGTTATAACCAATAGAAAGAGCAGATTCAGCTTTAAAAGATTGGTTCATTTAAGTGCCAGGCTAGGAAATATTTAGATTGTTTCATGTTTGCTCTTGTCTTGTTTGGCTTGATAAGCTAATAGAATTTTTTAATCCATTTATAACATGGTTACAAAACTAGTTAAATTATAGTAGTTTTTAGGACTTTTTTGTGCAAGATAGTGTATGTTCAGAATTACTTATTTGAAATAAATTTGCTGTTATAAAAGTAACTAAAATGTAAAACTTAAACTTCTTAGGTAATAAAAAAAAATTGATTTTTTTAATTTTCCTCTCATGATACTCAGTTTCCTAGCAGGTACTCTTGTTGCATGAGGTTAAGTGAGTCTAACTGTGGGGTATTTGTTTACACAAGGCTTTCTGGCTGTGATAAACAGTTCTTGGCATATTCTGAAAGGGCTTAAATTAGCTGTAAAGCAATAAAACTACAACCCAGATTTGAAAAGTATTAGTATTGACTTTAAGGATGAATAGTGTGTAACTGCCTGTTATAGTATATAGTCATTCCAGAAATAAAAGTAATTTTATATCTTTTAAAATTTTCTTATCTTGTGTTATTATCTTGATTTGACTACTGTTATGGTAGAGAATATAATAGATGAAATATAGTTTTATTTATAAAAAGACTTAATATTTATGTAGGACATTCTACAGGTCACGTAAATAAATAATAATAATAAAAAAACGAGAGTTTATTTTGAACATGTAATCATCTTTCACCAATTCACAGTCAACTATTTAGTAAAAATACTTTATCAAAAATTCAGTTTTTGTGTGTATGTGCAAATTTGTAAGTTGTATTAAAAGCTTGCTAAATTCAGTGCATATATTTAGTAAATTTAGAACTATAGTAAACATTGCTGTGTATAGCTTCATAGAAAATGGGTTGGTGCAAAGCATCATTGTTATTCACATAATTAAATTCCTGGGTATTTCTAACAGTATTCAGGATGCTGAGGTATTGCAGAATGATTTATCGATTGATAAGTTGGACAAATGTAAGTAATTATCGTAATTGCAAAATAGTGCATGTACCATGTGACTGAAGAAAAGGAATTGTGGTGAATAAGTCACTTAAGCCATCAAAGAAGTGCTCTGTTGATATTAGTAAATCCAATATAATTTGCTGGTGTTTTTATGGACATTAACTTCTAATGAAAAGAAGTAATTAACTCCATCTCCCCCCCCCCCCAAAAAAAAATCACTATTTTATGCATCACTTGGAATACTATGTACAAGCTTGGGCTTCATATCTAAGGAATGATATTGATATTTTACTGAAAGGATGTAGAAGAGGGTTACTGGGTATAAAAAGGTTATATAGGAATAGTTTTAGAATTTTTACTTCTCTTAAAAATAGAAGAGTAATTGGTGATCTTATTGAACTTTGTAATATTATCCATGAGATTGATATGATAAGGGCGTATAATTTATGGCTTGCCCAAAATACACAAAACTGGATACCCTCTCTGCTGTTGGATCTTGCTATTACAATCTGTCTAAATTTATCATTTCCATCCTTAAACCCATCACCTTGAACAAACTTACAATTACAAATCCTTTTACCTTTGGTTCTGAAATCTCTAAAATTCCCTCTGTTGATCAACATGTTATGGCCAGTTTTGATATTGAATCTCTCTTATACTAATATTTCCCTTGAATAAACATTAAATTTAATCTTGAACCTTCTCTTTCCTATTGACACCGAGTAGTATCTTGGTTTCACAGTTCACATCCAAACTTGAGGAAAATGATTCCGTTAGGATTACCAAAGAAGGTAAACACTTTTCTACCTTTATTTATCATAAAAGAACTTTTACTGGTCTCTACACCAATTTTAATAGTTTTATCCCCCACTTTTTCAAACGTAATTTGGTTATCATTATTAAACAGAATTTTTAATCTTTGTTCAACTTATTTTATTTTACACAAAGAAATTACCATTCCACACAAACACATGTTAGATAATGGCTGTTTGGCTAATTTTCTAATGAAGATTACACACACTCTCGTAAACAACAAATTCCAACCACCACCACCAAATGTGCACACTCTCTACACATTATATATAATGTGTATCTAATAAACAAAAAAAAAGAAACTTCTACCCCAAAATGCAGCTCAGACTAATATACAGACTTAGCCTCCACATTAAAATCTTATTTCAATACTAGGATCAACTACCTAAATTTCTACATTCGTGGCTGATATAACTATACATGTAGTGATTGTAAGGTCACATACACTGGTTTAAAAAAAACAACAACTCAAAACTAGTCTCTGAACATTTAGGATTATCTAACGGAATTGACCGTTTGCTACTTAAACCCAACCACTCTTCCATTTGTTCACATTCTGAAACCATGTATCACAATATTTCATTTAACGATTTCTCTGTCATTACCACAGGATTTTCAGATTTTGAACTCTGCTTTAAAAAAAGCTTACTCGTAGCTAAAGACTGCCAGATTTTAAATGACTCTCAAAGCTCTTTAGATTTAAAATTGTTCTAAATTTTCAGATTTTGAACTCAACTGTCGTGTAATATATCTAATCTGTTGTTGTTTTCTCCTTCCATTTACCAATTCTCTTAAAAACAAAGTAAACTAGTGATATTAGTTTTAGTTGATAATCATCTTCATAATACAATTTTCATATTTTGCTGAAGATGGAATGAATCTATCCCAAAAAGTTTGAACCTTGTAAATAAATTTTGTTTTATTAACTGTCTTCATCTTCATTATTAGACTTCGTTTTCCCCATCGTGAATCCATTACTAGTTATAACCTTATTCTAATAGTCAGTTATCATAGAAATTAAATATAATTTTAATCTACTTAAATAGTGCTTTCAATTTAAAAGGTACCATGTTAATTTTGAGAGGAATCCATACATCTTAATAATTTTCAATAATTACTCTAGAACAATTCTTAATGTTTCAGTTCAAAGGAGGATATTTAATGCATCAGTTTAACATTGTCTAATAATGTTTACTACAGAATTACATTTATAAGTCCAAATCTCAAATATTATTTTCCTTTAAACTATTGAGTGTGAACTAAATCTAGTGTCATTAAAATGTTATTCCCACATTTACGTTGTACGAGAGTATTATGGAATATGAGGCCACAGTAAACTGAACAAGTTAGTCACATTAATCTAGGGGATTATAGTACTTCTGAAATCTGTGAATATGATAACCTTCTCAACAAGAATTGTCCATAAAATGTGATTTTTATCTATTTACCTTTCACTGATTGTTTATTACTTTTTGTTTTTCTTTGTAGTTGTAAGTTTCCATGCCTACATTTTGAAGGCTAAAAAAAAAAATACTAAAATTTTGCTCTTCATTGTTGCTTTATTTGTAATTGCCATTAAAATAATTTAGTATACTCAGCAGAAATTGGCAAGCACTAAAGTGAGTTTCATATTGCAAGTGACTTGTTCAAATAACTTTCAATACTGCCTCTTATGCTTGTGTTTCTAACTAATTAACTTTTCACAAGGAAGTTTTTTTTTAATAGCACCATTATTTTGAAACCACTCATTAAATAATGGATTAAAGTTTTGTTTTTCCAGTTCTGGTTACTTTTATGTTTTCTAAGCCATCATTTTTCATTCTAGGTAGTATGTAAAAGCCATTTATACATTTTCAGTAACTTATTTTTATTTTATTTTTTAATTGCATTTGATTGCATACTTCTTGGTAGATCATATTTTGTCAAATTTAGGTTATTTCTATTGTAGCCCAAATTAGGAATCTAAATTTGTGCATTGTATTTACCATTCACTGTCAATCTGTCCATAAAGTATTATAGCAAATTCTAGGGAAGGAACTGGTCATACCTAGCTAGTTAATTACATTATGCTGTCAATGTGTTTCTACAGTAAGTTTTGTAATTTTTCTAAACCATGAGGTCTAGATTACTGACTGATATCAAATCTTTGTTGTTTTTGTCTAAATCTATGAAATTACTTTAGACAAAATGGCACTATTCACTCTGTATAGTATATTATAAAATCCTAAAAGTCAGTTATGTTAAGTGTCTTGCATATCTAAAGATTTCGTATTGTATGTTATAGCACTCGGCACCAGTGTCTGGTATGCCATTTCCGCCCACTTCTACTTTTAGCCAACCAGGAACTTATGGACCTATTGGAGCCATTCCACCTTATCAGTCATATGCACAGCCTTCACATCTACCACAACCATTCATGATGTCTGCTTCACAGTCGGGTAGGAAATAAGGCGGTTTATTTAAACTGGTTTCTTTCTTATAATAGTGTAGGTGATTTGTGAAATTTAAAAGAATTGATAGTTATTTTTCAGTTTTATAAGTACTTCCCTAAGCTGGACTGTGTTATGGAATAATGTAATCCAAAAACCATGTTTCTGAAAAAATACTGTAAAAGATTTTTTTCTTTTTGTGATGAAAACATATTGGCATCATATTTTTTTTAAGATTAACCTAGTAGTTTAAAATATATATATTCATCATGCTTGTTTTGCTAAGATTAATTTGTTCTTTTGTTGCTGTTATTAAGATTTTAAAAGAAACTGGGACTTTGAAGCAAATTTTCAAAATTATATAAAATGGTGTTCACGACTGTATAAACACTGACTTATTTTTGTTAGTTTGTAGAAAAGTTCCTCTTGCCTGTGAATTTGCAAAGGAAATTCTAACCATATACAGAGTTTACGTACATTGTACTAAAACTTTTATTATTATTCCTGTATTTATACGGTTCATGTTCCCAAGTCTGGTCATGCTCTATTGTACCAGGTATCTTTACAGTAGCCTTGCAGCATGTTTTCCTTTGCAAAAGCTTGTCATGTCCAAAGTACAACACAACTAAGGTGATGTTTTTGTTGTGTACTGTTTCCTTTTCTTTTTTCCCAATGCCATTAAGTAAAAGGGGTATCTTCATCAAGTTCTAAGTACCTGATCTAAATGTATGAATAATTTGCATTTGAAAAGGTTGTTGCATATACTTCCCCAAAACAATTGTTTTCAGTGGTAGTGCAGTATGTACAAAATACCAAACAATGTCAAGAACCTAGCTCTGTTACATGCCATTCCACTGACACTGTTACCTGTGGTTATCTCCCCGAGTTGCTGATTTGCATATTTATAATTGTCTTAATATAACTTACTGAACTTTCTGTATAGTGTATATAGTTCGTATGCTGTTTCTAATTGTTAATATTGACTGTACTTGTAACTAGGTTTAAAGATTTGAGATTACTCTTCACACTAATGTAAGTATTGGTCATTGAAGGTTTATTTTTATGTGATTTTAAATTGTCCAGTACTTTTAAAAGTAGAAATAATTGTTTATAAAAACCTTGAACTGTAAAGGAATTGCTTAAAGAATTTAACTTTGTTCTTAATAGGATCTAGGTCAGAAACTCCCACACCCACCCCACAGCAGAGAAAGAGTCCCACCATGGATGCAGGTGTTCAGACATCTGGCGGCTCTGTACAAGTTCAGGAAGAGCCAAGGAAACAACGTCAAGGTGTACCTCAAAGATCAACCAATATCAGTCGTCAAGCAACGAGACCAGCAAACGTACAAATAAATCAACAGCCACAGTTTACCCAACAGCAACAGCAAAGGAGACAGTTTTCAACAAGTAATCGTGGTCAACAAAGAGGATGTAATAACTAAATCTGTATATTTATGGGAAGTGGAAGGATAGAAATGTGGTGTACACACACACACACACACACACACACACACACACACACACACACACACACACACACACACACACACACACACACACACACACACACACACACACACACACACACACACTATATATACTATACGTAGTAGTAGTTACGTATTATTATTTACTTTACTTTTACTTTACTTATTACTTAAGTACTTAATTACTGTAGTTAGGTAGGAGG